AGTTAGCAGGTGATGAATCCTGCCTGGATTTCCCACCCACGGTGTGGTTAGAAATGTCATCCTGAAGCTAGAACCTGCAAAAAGGGTCTCAGGACTTTTCCTGTTGCTCTATCCTACTGTGGCTGACCTGGTGTCTAAATTTCAAGACAAAGTCCCCTTTACTCTTTCGTCTCCTCTCTTCAAGCAGAAGGAAGGAGTCGCTCCCAAAGCTTTGAGCTGCACTGCCTGGCTTTAGGGGAGTGGTGACACAAGGACTCCCTTGACCACCATGGCTGATGTCTCATTAGGTCACACACCCCCTCAAATACACTGGCTTTGAGCTCAGCACGGCACCAGAACTTGACCGGGAATTGCAGTCCTTGTCGCCTAGATTGCCTTTCAAGTTTATTTAGAAACTTATAAAACTTTGGCTCGTGGTGGTGCGGATTGACGGCCCTCAGGTTCCGGCTGCTAGGATGGGTGATTCTCCTCTGGCTACACCTGGCCTAAAAATGCTTCCTCTGTAGGTGTTGAGTAAGTTCCGTTCAGTGCAGCTTTCTGCTGTGATAGGGAGCGCTGATTTCCAACGCAAAGTTCCGCATTCACTGTGCTGTCTCTCTCCCTAAGTGCATAGATTATCTCTCAGCACCAAGTGGCTACTGCTATGGGATAGGGAATGGGTGGAGTCGGCAATTCAAGACTGTCTTTTCTATTCTTGTCACTGCCTCTTTCAGTGATTTGAAGTTAGAACTAGATGCTGTGTTCAGACACTTAATTTTTGATTCTTATGAAGGTACTTTTTTTGTATGGATAGTTGTTCAGTTTGATGTTCGTGTGGCGACAAACTCTTATTCAGTCATTTGTTCTGCCTTCCTTTTGAACTGTTATTCTTTTCTCAAATATTTAAAATTGAAAGTATAAATAGGTATGAATGAATCAAGCTTTTTCAGGGATGCTTGACCATGAACTTCAACTATTCCGCTTATTGTCAGTTAAGCTTCTATTTTGTTAATATTTTGATATAAGCATTAAATAACATAATGCTTCTAAAGTGCTTCAAAACTGTTTGACACACAAAAGTTGGTAATAATTTCCACTTTTATCTTACCTTTCTCCTCATTTTTTTCCTCTTTGATTCTTCAATCAGTGTTCACAGAGATGTAAACTTACTCTTCAGCAAACATTTGTTTATTGATTAATAGTGGTACTTTTCAATCTATTATTTCAATAGCTCTATTGTTATTGTTGAAATATAATAAATCTGTACATATTTCAAGTGTAGAATTTGATATATTTTGGCATGTGGATATACTCATGATTCCATCAGCACAATTAAAATAGTGAACATGTCTAGCTCTTCAATAAGACCTATTTAAATTCCTCTTTCCCTCCCAAAGCTCTCCTTCCCATGTAACCACTGATGTGTTTTCTTCCATTATATAGAGTAGTTTGCATTTCCTACAGTTTTATATAAATGATTTCATGCAGTATGTACTCTTGATTGCCTGGCTTCTTTCATCTAGTATAATTAATATGAGATTTATCACAATTGTAGTGTGAAACGATAGTTTACTCCTTTTTTAATGCTGAGTAGTATTTTTTTATTTTTTTCCTGAAGAAATAGCCTTTCTCTCAGGCCATATCTACAACACTCATAATAATGTTTTAAAAATCATGTTTTCCCCAATGTGGTATAGTTTGTTTAAAAGAGACATTTCTATGATTTAGCCAAATTAGTGCACTCTTTGAAGTAAGCTAATATTAAAATTTCATTTGATAGCGATTTAGAACATTGGATTTTTTTTTGTTCATGACAACAATACATTTTAAAAAAGTGTATTGTAATGAAGTAAAATAATAAATGGCCAAAGTAAAATAAGAGATAATTTTATTTATTGAGAAATATAACTTGGCATTGCTGGTTTTCAAGCAATACAATTGAGATATCTTTCAGTTTCCCATTAAGATATTGAAGGTATGTTTAATAAGTAAAGTCTACTAGCCAGAAAGATCAGTGTTTTCCCAATTTTTTCAAATGGAGAATCAGATATCAATATACTTGCCCCATGTAAAGTAAGAAAAAAAAAAGTAAGTGAGATTACTTGAATTGATAATCGTACAGGGGAACCAAAACCATTTTTAAAATGTTTCCACTAGGAAATGGTTTTGTGCCTGTTAAGCATGCGAAATGTGCCACTATCTGGCTTTTAATAGTATTATGCCTTTCCAATGACTCCATGAACAAATCACACTTCTAATAGTTCAAATTAATTATAAAATCCAAATAGTCACAGATAACACTTCTGCTTTTCCATGTGATAGGCACAGACTAGAATGATGCAAAATATGGCTGTGCCAGTTAAAAATAGCAAAATTAATGGTTAAGGTAAAAGATGTAAAAAGGAAATGAAGGGAAGGTTATTAGATAAGAGCAGCTTGCAAATGGAGTATTCAGATTTTGAGAGTTTTGTATATTTATGAAAAATAAAACTGACCTATAAAATAAGAATTAAAATATACTAACAGATTTGTGAACATTTACCCCAAATGCTTCATATTCTTTGAAATAAGATGCTCCAGTGTTAGAATCGGTATGTGATCAATAAATCATTTGCCAGTGTGTGAAATGTGTATTTTACTGATTTGCTAACTTATATTCATTTATTGATGCAAAAATATGTTAAATTCTCATTATGAATAAGTGTCAAATTAGGTGTTGATTTACATTTCTAACTTCATGGAGTTTACAGTGTACTGATGATTTAGGAAATAAATATTTATCCATATAACAAGACATAATATATAAAAGTTAATACTGAGGAAGAAGAAATAACAGACGATTCTACACTGAGCTTTGAAAGCCTGTTTGAGGAGTTTAATTTTAGCTGAGCATTGAAAGACAAGAGTGAAGGGTGAAAAGAAGGTGGAGAGTAGGAGGATGATATTTCCAGGATAGAAAACAGCTTACATGAATAAAATATAAATATAAAATAAAGCACAGCAAGAATTGTTCTTTTTGAGACAATATTTTCAGTCTATTTTCTTGTTTGGTTTATACAATCTTATTTCAATAATGTGTTACATCTGTATAAATTTATCAAATATTAAATATGTAGTTATAGGTCCTTCATTAGAATCCAAGATAACAGAATATTTAAACATGCAGGAAAATTGACTTATTTTAAAGTTGAAAATATCAAACACCACCTTTTGTCCTGAGTCAAATTAATTGGTGAAAAGGAGGCTTGAGAACACAAAGATTCAATTCTTTAAATAAGGGTGAGTAAATAAAATTATTGAAGGAAGATGCTGTAGTGTTCAATCTTATGCATCTGTATATCACTTGACATTTTCAGTAAAGATCCATTTGAAATCCAGGATCAGATTCATGTCTAAATACTTTAAACCAGAACTAAATCCAACAGCTACCATCAAAATATATTTTCTTTTTTCTCCTAGCTAGTTCTCTTGCTAACAACACCTCTCATACAGTTTCAAAGCATCAAGATCTTCAACAGTTTCTCCTTCTCTGCCAATTACAAATTTAAAAGTTGGATAGATTTACATTTTATGTGACTGAAAATTTTTCATTAGTTTGTATTAACAAGATCTCTAATGTTAAAATCCTGTTTCTTGCCTCATTACCTCTAACAGTAGCTTGCTCACTAGTATCCCACCTCTGACTCAAGCCTCTTCTAATAAGCCACTCACATTAGGGCAAAGTAAAGCTGCTAAGTCATAGTCACTGTCATTAGAACACCAGGCTGATTAAATAATACTCCCTGTAAACACCCCATACTCTTCTGTTTTCTTCTCTGACGTTACTTTCTGTTATCATCACTAATCTATTAGGGCCAAGTATTACTTATGTTTAATTCTTCCTCATCTTGACAAGTTTATTATTTTTCTTAAAGGAATACATCTTTTCACTTTTAAATACCAAAGGTGTGGTTTATTAATTACAAAAGGTTCTTAATTCTTATGGAATTTAAGGCTTTTCACTTGAATTATACTTACTAGCATTCATACTATTTTCAATTAAGTTGCAATTTGTTCCAGAGAATGAACCAGAATATTACCTTGTATAATGTATAAATCAATTATTTTTTGCAGAGCTCAATTTCAGGAATTAAGTAATATCCCATGGTTTCATTAACATAAACTATTTAATGTAGTATTAGCTTGAAGTAGTATGTTTTGATGAATAAAAAAATGCTCAAATGACATATAGCAGGAATGGACTTGCTAATTAATTCTTCCTTAATTTATTTAAGCTTTATGTAAAGATGTCCCATTATGTGCAAGGTATTATTTTAAAAACAGAAGGCCCTGGATCCTGTAATGAGTAGGAAAACAAAGCTACTATACTGAAAAACCTTATAAAATTGCAGTGAAATATCTCACACAATTAGTTTTTTAATGTTTCTGCCAGTGTCCTTCGATCAACTCAGATTGTGTATATGTCAAGGACTGCATTTATTCATAATTCTCCGATATATACGTTTCTACAATGTTAATTGAAAGTTTTAGTACTAATAGAATTTAAGAACATGGGTCTCTCATGGTCTTTGCTTTACATTCAGTCTTTTCATTAGTTTCTGATTCTATGAATGTGTGCACATATGTATTGTGTGTTCATTCAGTAAGGTCAGAATATTCTGCAACAATCCATTAATATTTTGTATTCATTTCCACTCTCCTAACTACCACATGCACTTATTCACGTATGTTCTCTAATGACCAACATCTTAGAATATTTGCAAATTACAAATAAGTATCAGATCTCTAAAACTGTCCCAATAAAATCATTAATTTTATAATTCATATTAAGGTTCTGGTAAAACTTGATTTTTAACAAGACGTATCTTAGATGATATTCTGATGTTAATTATCTTAGTTAAACATGCAGTATTAAAGTCAATAATTTAATACTCTAAGATTAAATTATTCATGTGCACATGACAAGTTTTCCAAAGCACAACAGTGGAGTCGCTACAGAGCTCAGAACTGAACAGACATACCAGGTGTCACACACTCCTGAAGATGTTGAAGTTTCAGCTTAGACAGGAAGAGTGGAGGGACCTCACTGAGGACTTCAGGCATTAAGTTGAAGCTCCAGGGAAGGTACACTTTAAGAGGAAGAAATAGACCCTGGAAAAAGGCCAACACCAGTATTAAGCACAAAACAGAAACATCCAGCCCCGTGTCATTAAATACCATCTCTATTCTGAGGATTTCCAAAATCATAATTACAGCTCAGATCTCTCCATCAAATTTCTACTCATGTATTTAACTTTTTTGACTCTATTTAAATAATTAATGATAGCCATCTAATACTGAACTCTGCTTCTGCACTACCCCGCCTTGAAAAATAAAACTAAAACCTAAAAGTATACTCTTTCTATGTTGCTTTAACTGCTGGAAGTTGAGAATCTTCAGGTCATCTTTACGCTACCATTTTTTTACACCTCCCATGTTAGCAAATGCAACCATCAACAAACACAACCATATTTCATTCATTTCACTGCTTGTGCGCATCCATGATACCACTGTTTCCACCAGTTTTTTTTTTTTTTTTTCCATCAGTAGCATCCTAATATGCTCCCTACTTTCATCTTTGTCCCCACACCAACCCACTTTTATGTCTGGCTTCTTTCTTTCAACATTTTTTTGTGTGAGTTTGACCTGTGTTGCTGCATCTAGCAATAATTTGCTCATTTTTATTGCTGTATAATATTGAATTGTATGCATATACCAGAGTGCATTTATCCATTTTAGATCATTAGATACTTAATTTTTTGTGTGCATTTCTACATTTCATGGGCTTTAGTTCTTTAATAAGCAAAACATGTTTCTGTCTCAGAACCTTTGTTCTGCTTTGTTTTCAGCCTGGAATGCTCAGCCTCAGAGTCTACATGAATTTCCTTTGACAACCTGTGAACAATACATCTCTTACCCTCTTTATTCTCATTCTTAGCACTTATCATCTGACAAATTATATTTATATTCGATTATTTTTGTCTTTCTCCATATGAATATATGCATCATCAAAAGTAGAGCCGTTTTTGTGTGTATGTTCTTCGGTGACCCAAGCATCTAAAACAGAACACGACATACATAGGAACTAACTATAAATACAGCCTTTGTGGCTGCAGGTTGGAAAGAGAGGACAAAAACAATAGGTGATAAGATGGAAGCTGTACGCAGAAAAAATGAGAAACCATGCTATGACTTGAAGCACAGAAGCGACATGATTGTTTTAGAATTCTAAATGACTGACTAGGAATGCACATTTTCTTAGCAAAGATGGAGAAAAAATAAGAGCCTATTTGAATAGCGTAGTTAAGAGATGATTTTGACTCAGATGAATACATCATCTGTAGTTTCTGGCTTTTGCAACTAGCTTTTGCATGAACTGAAAATGAAGCTATTGGACATCATATATCACACATACAGCTCCTATGGATCTGTATAAATAAGCAATGGTGATGATGAATGTATTTATATATTTATTCCAATTGATTTATAAGATACCAATTTATAAAAATGAAAAATATTCCCAATGTTGAACTATATTATGCCATTTGTATAATAAAAAGAAGGAATAGAGATAAATGCACTCACTTGGATATGTATATCTCCAGAATTCTATTTCATTTAAAAAACTTAATAAAATTGTTTGCCTTTGGGTACAATAAGATAGCTGTGTGAAGGAACTGGGAAGAGGGTTTTCTACAATATACCATAGTGTAACTTTTGAATTTTGAACCCTGAAAAGCATTAGCTACATAAAAATAGGTACATAACATTTAAATATAAAAATTATAAACCTCAGAAAAATATTCAGCATTTTGGCACCTATTTGCTGTTTATTTGCAGTTTATTTTAGAGAAGTAATTTTAACTGTTGGAAACAATGCATGGAAATATATCCTAGCTCGGAGTGGAGGGGCAAAGTACCCTTCTCTCTGCTCTTTGTACATTTTTCAAAGTATACCTACTTCCACTGCCTTACCCTTACAGCATTTTCTGCTGAACCTCTTGTCACAGTTATTGATATCAAAATGTTATGCTCTTAGGTTAAGAACAGTCATAGTAAACAATCTTATAACTATGTATAGAGAAATATAAATAATTTTCTAAAAGAAAGTCAGGGCCAGGTGCGGTGGCTCACACCTGTAATCTCAGAAATTTGAGAGGCCGAGACGGATGGATTACCTGAGGTCAGGAGTTCTAGATCAGCCTGGCCAATATGGCGAAACTCCGTCTCTACAAAAAATACAAAAAATTAGCCGGGTGTGGTGGCGCACGTATGTAGTACCAGCTACTCGCTACATGGGAGGCCGAGGCAGGAGAATGGCATGAATCCGGGAGGCACAGCTTGCAATGAGCCGAGCTCGCGCCAGTACACTCCAGCCTGGGCCACAGAGAGAGACTCTGTCTCAAAAAAAAAAAAGAAAGAAAGAAAGAAATAAAGAAAATCGGGGCATCAATGGAATTTTATAAATTATATAATTTTGTGATTATTATTATGGTTTGCTACTGAACTGTGTTCATGGCCAAGTAAGCACTAGAATTTGATTACCCTATGAATAATGTATTACTTATTTTGGAAGACAGTAATCAGTTTGCTGTTATTAAGGAAGCACATAAGCAAATTTGCAAACACTGATTATAGAAGAAATGTATGTAGAGGCTTCATACAGCATAGTTTAAACCCTTGCTGCTGAATTCAGAAAACTTTGAATTTAGACTATATCATTTACTGAATGAGTGTTTCTCTTTTACCACATGATTAAAAAAAATTAAAAAGTTAATTTTTTTCTTGCTATTGTGGTTGTGATAACATGTAAAATAAATTTTTAAAACAATGAAGCCCTATTTATATTTATACCTTAAATATTGCTTATAACGTTGTTTATAAAAATTAAAATAAAACATGGTACATTTATAACCAAGATTTTCTTATGTACAAAAAAGATAAATGTATAGTATAAAATATTTTAATATAAGAAAAAGCTCATATTTTATTACTGGATTTAATTTACAATTTGGGGAGTTAAATATGGAAAGGTTTTAATGTAGTAAGATATTTAATATGTTAAAACATTTTCAAAAAACAAAATTCTGCTGATAGGCTTTTTTGGGGAAAGGTTTTTTTTCAGACAATCGGCTATTGAAAGGTCAAATAGAAGTTGGCATTCATGTGTGCTAAGTAATTAAAACAACTTCATAAGCAGGTTGTACATAATTATATTGCATGAATATTTTAAGTTTTTAAATATATATTTCTAGTAGAATGTGGTTTTGATTGATTTAATTCTCACAGTATTGTGGGTGTATGAGTCTAGTTGGAAATATTCTTTGGCCTGCTCATATAGCAGCAGATGCACTATTTGCATAAGTAGGATGTTATATGTGGGCTTGTATTTTTGGCTGCCTCTAGATTTATGACACCAATTCATTTTTTTTTTTTTTTTTTGCACAGATGTAAGAAAGACTGGCAATATGAAAAGAGGAGTTAATCAATTTCATTTTTAAAAATTGTTACAATAACTCTGATTCAAATCTGCATATATGTGAATATGATTACTTCATTCATAAACATGTATGAAGCAGAAAATTTTCAGTCACATAATGATTGTGCATTATAAAGTTAGCAATTAAACTAGAGGCTGATGCAGGCACATTATTTGTATTAAAAATACATTCATCTATTTTAATTATTGAGAAAAAAGTCATTTATAACACTAAACTGAAGAAATAAATGGCTTATTTTTTCAGAAAAAATATACTATTTTCTTATATAGAATATTAAATTGCTAAATAAATGGTCATTTTAATACAGAAAAATATATAAATTATACTATACTATAAAATATTGCTATTATATCATTTAGAAATCTCATGTTATTTAAAATTTTCTTCACTTAGCATGATATGTTTGGAATCCCTAGTAATAGCATACTGGCTTTCCTGTGTTTTTTCTCTGGTTTTCATACAGGATTTTTCTACTTGATATGACACATACTAATTTAAATGATTCAATTTGAAGTCAGTATAATGTAAAGCATCACATTTTATAATTTTAACAATTTTTTTTCCTAAATGGTACTCATTTTGTTATAATGATAAATGGGATATTTGTTTGAAAAAATTATAGTTTTAAATAAACTATGCAAATTATTCTTATTAATATTTATCTGAAAATGAAATGGTGCTCATCACTGTGGGGAAGGCTAAGAATGAGAAAAATGGGAGTACATGGCCAAAGGATACAAAATAGCAGATATGTAGAAAGTGCAAGCATAGATAACTAATGTATAAGATAAGTACTAATGCTAATAAACTTATATGGTAGTTTTTTTTTTTTGATAAGTAGATTTTAGACACTCTCATCACCAATAAAGAAACTATGAGATGATAGACGTTAATCTGCTTCAATATAGTAACCATTTTACAATCAATATGGATTCCATAACATCATGTTGTAAAACTCAAATGTACACAATAAAATTTATTTTAATAATTGAAAATTTAAAAATTGAAAACCTGAGACAATTCTGATAGCTAAATGAGTAGTGAATTTAATGAATTAAGACTGGAAGCAGGGATGCCAGATAGAAACTGTTGCCGTGCATTAGGAGAAATGTTATAAAGTTTTGAATAAGTCAAGTAGTAATATAGGGAGAAAAAAATTGGTAATGTGAGAAATAGTTATGTGTATATTAAAATTATTTTGTAATTCATTTTTTCAAAAATTAATATATCACTTTCTAATTTTACTTGACATTTCAAAATATATTATCGAAAATAAAAGTAATGATAATTTTGGAAAAGAAATAGTTAAACTTCTATTAGAAACAGATATGTATGTATAGATATATTAGATTGATAGATGTGATGTCTAGCTAGATATTGATACACTCACAGAGAACTGAAAAATAAAAATGGTAGAATTGCATTATAAAATTGGCCACGTTTGGGGTGGAGGAGAAGAATATTTAATTCATATTTATTTACTACTGAAGTCACAATACAGTTTCTTTTTTTTTTGTTTTAGAAGATATAATGTCTCAAGCACGTCTAAATTAATTCTAAGATGTAAGTATCTGCTTAGGGAGAAGATTACTGAACTGCTGTATCCCAAAT